GAGCTCCGACCTGAAGATCACTGACGTCATGATTCAACCTTGTTTTTTTCAGAGTTCCCAGTTGTCGTGAAAGCACCATAAATCCAGAGAATGCCAGACTTTGATGACAAAGTTTGATGACAGAATTTGCCCATGAAGGCCCGCCGCGCCACCTCCTGTTCAAGTGAGCACAGCACAACAAGGTGAGTCCAAAAATGTATTGTATGCTGCTGCATAAATGATGTAATATGCCAGGGAGATACAGTGGGGGAAAAAAGTATTTAGTCAGCCACCAATTGTGCAAGTTCTCCCACTTAAAAAGATGAGAGAGGCCTGTAATTGTCATCATAGGTACACGTCAACTATGACAGACAAATTGAGAAAATTTTTTTTCCAGAAAATCACATTGTAGGATTTTTAATGAATTTATTTGCAAATTATGGTGGAAAATAAGTATTTGGTCACCTACAAACAAGCAAGATTTCTGGCTCTCACAGACCTGTAATTTCTTCTTTAAGAGGCTCCTCTGTCCTCCACTCGTTACCTGTATTAATGGCACCTGTTTGAACTTGTTATCAGTGTAAAAGACACCTGTCCACAACCTCAAACAGTCACACTCCAAACTCCACTATGGCCAAGACCAAAGAGCTGTCAAAGGACACCAGAAACAAAAGTGTAGACCTGCACCAGGCTGGGAAGACTGAATCTGCAATAGGTAAGCAGCTTGGTTTGAAGAAATCAACTGTGGGAGCAATTATTAGGAAATGGAAGACATACAAGACCACTGATAATCTCCCTCGATCTGGGGCTCCACGCAAGATCTCACCCCGTGGGGTCAAAATGATCACAAGAGCGGTGAGCAAAAATCCCAGAACCACACGGGGGGACCTAGTGAATGACCTGCAGAGAGCTGGGACCAAAGTAACAAAGCCTACCATCAGTAACACACTACGCCGCCAGGGACTCAAATTCTGCAGTGCCAGACGTGTCCCCCTGCTTAAGCCAGTACATGTCCAGGCCCGTCTGAAGTTTGCTAGAGTGCATTTGGATGATCCAGAAGAGGATTGGGAGAATGTCATATGGTCAGATGAAACCAAAATATAACTTTTTGGTAAAAACTCAACTCTTCGTGTTTGGAGGACAAAGAATGCTGAGTTGCATCCAAAGAACACCATACCTACTGTGAAGCATGGGGGTGGAAACATCATGCTTTGGGGCTGTTTTTCTGCAAAGGGACCAGGACGACTGATCCGTGTAAAGGAAAGAATGAATGGGGCCATGTATCGTGAGATTTTGAGTGAAAACCTCCTTCCATCAGCAAGGGCATTGAAGATGAGACGTGGCTGGGTCTTTCAGCATGACAATGATCCCAAACACACCGCCCGGGCAACGAAGGAGTGGCTTCGTAAGAAGCATTTCAAGGTCCTGGAGTGGCCTAGCCAGTCTCCAGATCTCAACCCCATAGAAAATCTTTGGAGGGAGTTGAAAGTCCGTGTTGCCCAGCGACAGCCCCAAAACATCACTGCTCTAGAGGAGATCTGCATGGAGGAATGGGCCAAAATACCAGCAACAGTGTGTGAAAGCCTTGTGAAGACTTACAAAAAACGTTTGACCTGTGTCATTGCCAACAAAGGGTATATAACAAAGTATTAAGTATTGATTTTTTTTCTAATTTTGTCTGTCATAGTTGACATGTACCTATGATGAAAATTACAGGCTCTCATCTTTTTAAGTGGGAGAACTTGCACAATTGGTGGCTGACTAAATACTTTTTTTCCCCACTGTATATATGTTTGTTTTTTTACTGACAAATACAATCAATCAATCCAAACTGTGCAGCGCCCATTTTATGAATAGAAAGAGACTTCTGTTACAAAACACCAAAAAGTTTAATGACATTTAGAGATTGTCAAGTCAAGCCTTCGATACTAGGTAAGCCTAGTGGTCCTCTGTAGCTCAGCTGGTAGAGCACGGTGCTTGTAACGCCAAGGTAGTGGGTTCGATCCCTGGGACCACCCATACACAAAAATGTATGCACGCATGACTGTAAGTTGCTTTGGATAAAAGCGTCTGCTAAATGGCATATTATTATACATGGTAGGGAGTGATGTATTTCTGTTTGTCGAGATTGACATAGTCTATTTATTGTGGTGAAAATGCAAACCATGCTATTGAAGTGCCCGAAGTCAGTATGCTTTGTTTATTGGTTGTGTGGTGCATTGGCACAGAAACCTGTTGGTGGAAAATTCGTTGCATATATTTTAAATAATTATAAATACGGCATCAAAATGTTGAACATCTGATTTCCCCCTAGCTAAGCATTGTCTGCAGCTCGCTCTGATCGTAGTGTAACGAAACAGGCAAGGAGAGTGAGTGAGCTCGTATGTGGTGGTTGGCGAACCCCTTAACCTTCTAGTCCGTAGCCCTGCGTGGGATCGACTGTGCCACAAAAGCATGCTGAAGTGGCAAAGTCAATATCCACGTTTATAAACACAGGGTCGCTACAGTTATTGTTATTTTAGGTCATAAACATTATTTTGAGTTAATTCTATGAGGGAGGATGGTATTCAATTTATTTTACAGTACAAGGGGAGGGTCATGTGAAAATATTTGTAATGTTGGGGAGGGGGGTGAATTTTTTCAATCTATCCCTAAGGAAACTTCTGCAGCAAAGAAGATAATGCCATAGAAAATATATACATCTAATTTTCATAAGAAATACCCGCCTCGTCTGAATTTTCAGTTGAAGTCGGAAGTTTACATACACCTTCGCCAAATACATTTAAACTCAGTTTTTCACAATTCCTGACATTTAATCCTAGTAAACATTTCTTCTTTTAGGTTAATTAGGATCACCACTTTATTTTAAGAAATACATTTTGCCACAACTTTGGAAGTATGCTTGGGGTCATTGTCCATTTGGAAGACCATTTGCTACCAAGCTTTAACTTCCTGACTGATGTCTTGAGATGTTGCTTCAATATATCCACATAATTTTCCTTCCTCATGATGCCATCTATTTTGTGAAGTGCACCAGTCCCTCCTGCAGCAAAGCACCCCCACAGCATGATGCTGCCACCCCCGTGCTTCACGGTTGGGATGGTGTTCTTCGGCTTGCAAGGCACCCCATTTTTCCTCCAAAAATAACTATGGTCATTATGGCCAAACAGTTATATTTTTGTTTTATCAGACCAGAGGACATTTCTCCAAAAAGTAAGATCTTTGTCCCCATGTGCAGTTGTAAACCGTAGTCTGGCTTTTTTATGGCAGTTTTGGAGCAGTGGCTTCTTCCTTGCTGAGCGGCCTTTCAGGTTATGTCTATATAGGACTCGTTTTACTGTGGATATAGATACTTTTGTACCTGTTTCCTCCAGCATCTTCACAAGGTCCTTTGCTGTTGTACTGGGATTGATTTTCACTTTTCACAGCAAAGTACGTTAATCTCTAAGAGACAGAACGCGTCTCCTTCCTGAGCGGTATGACGGCTGCGTGGTCCCATGGTGTTTATACTTGTGTACTATTGTTTGTACAGATGAATGTGGTACCTTCAGGCGTTTGGAAATTGCTCCCAAGGATGAACCAGACTTGTGGAGGTCTTGGCTGATTTTCCCATGATGTCAAGCAAAGAGGCACTGAGTTTGAAGGTAGGCCTTGAAATACATCCACAGGTACACCTCCAATTGACTCAAATGATGTCAATTAGCCTATCAGAAGCTTCTAAAGCCATGACATCATTTTCTGGAATTTTCCAAGCTGTTTAAAGGCACAGTCAACTTAGTGTGTGTAAAATTTTGACCTACTGGAATTGTGATACAGTGAATTATAAGTGAAATAATCTGTCTGTAAACAATTGTTGGAAAAATTACTTGTGTCATGCACAAAGTAGATGTCCTAACCGACTTGCCAAAACTATAGTTTGTTAACAAGAAATTTGTGGAGTGGTTGAAAAACGAGTTTTAATGACTCCAACCTAAGTGTATGTAAACTTCCGACTTCAACTGTATATAAAGCTCTAAACGCACTTATAAAGCTGACAGCTTCCACAAAGGTAGCTTAGTGGTTAAGAGCGTTGTGCCAGTAACCGAAAGGTCGCTGGTTCTAATCCCCGAGCCGACTAGGTGACAAATCTGTCGATGTGCCCTTGAGCAAGGCACTTAACCCTAATTGTTCATGTAAGTCGCTCTGGATAAGAGCGTCTGCTAAATGACAAAAAAAAAGATGTATGCTCTCATAATCAGATTGCTGTATTTCCAATAAGCTGTTAACATATCACACAATTAAATGTTTTCCAAAAACAAGCAACTAGATAGGGATAATCGGGGTCTTTGTAACCACCATTTAGACTACCATTTCTGGAAAACAGCCATGCACGGGCACTGGTGGCAGACAGGAATGCACATGACGGTAGGGTAAAAGCTGTAATCTTAGCTCAGTGGGAGTGGGACTGGGGTGATGATCTCTCTCTATCCGAACTGTTACCCCTTCTTATACTTAAGAGAATATCCAATAACTTACTCCCTGGCATTTGGCACAAATGAATGTACAGTGTATCCAACAACAGTATAAGTAAATAAGTACATAGTATTTGAGTTGGCTTGTTAGTAAGCACCTGTTGAAGTATGTTTTTCTGTAAGATCCTAATGCTCCTCTGAAACGGTTGAATAATCAGTTTGTAACACAAATGTAGATGACTGAATAGTATAACCAGAATTATTGTACCTGTGGTAGCTGGTGGCACTTTAAATCAGAGGCCGGGCTCATAGAAATTAATGGAACAGAATCAATGGAACGGTTTCAAACACATCAAACAGATGCTGTTCCATTTATTCCATTCCAGCCATTACTATGAGCTGTCCTCCCCTCACCAGCCTCTGTTCTACATTTTAAAACGCATTGCCAACAATACTGAGGTATAAAAACATTGACAATTTCGGATGAATTATTATGAATGATTGACAGTAGGCAGGCACGTGTACAGTCGTGTGGTTTTAAAATAGGAGGGGGTCATTCTTCCAATGACCTCACTGCTCCACCAAGTCTTTGTTGTAGTTGAGCAGGTCGCAGGTCAGGAACAGGTCAGAGCGGCCACTCTCCATCACCACCCTGTCCAGTTGGAGACTAGTGGCCTCGTGGACCTCCACCAGCTCATCCAAGGGCCAGTCCAGCAGCTGGGCACTGGAGGGCATGGGGGGCAGCCCAGGCTGGTAGTCCTCCAGGGGATTGGGGTACAGCAGCTGTCGGAGGGAGGGCATCCTGACCGCTGTCCTCACCAGGTCCAGGAGCCCAGCCAGGGAGAGCGGGTTCAAGGCGAGGCCCAGGCTCTTCAGGCCCCGGCAGCAGCTGAGCGACGGGAGCATCGCCGCCAACAGGCTGTCGGTGAGGCCACAGCCGCTCAGGGAGAGTTGCATGAGGCAGCTGGACGCCTGGGAGAGGAGGCGACGCACCGAGGGCAAGGCCGACTCATCCAGCCTGTTCTCACTCAGGTCCAGTTGCTGCAGCGAGGAGGCGTGCGGGCTGCAGGATAGATAGGAGAGGTCGGCATGGGTCAGGCTCAGGTAGGGAAGCTCCAGCACCTCCAGCGGCTGGGAGAAAGAGCTGGGGAACGGGGAACAAGTAGGAGGATGGGGAACAAGTGGGAGAGGGAACAAATACATGAGACACAGTTCAAGCTGTTCATGAGAATATGCAAACACAACCTCCATCTTTACAGACCACATGCTGGAGACAGTGGAGAGCTTGTCCTACCTGAGCAGCATGCAGAGGTGTCCAGGCAGCCGGAGGGCAGTGAGGCTGAGGCGGCGCAGCTGACTGAGCTTCCCCAGCCCCTGGGACAAGTCCTTCATTGCCCCCTCCTGGCCGGCCATGTCTCTGCGGATGTCCAGGTTGCAATAGTGCAGGCGCAGGGAGCTCAGCATGGGGAACATGGAGAGCTGAGGGAGGAGGAGAGCCAGGCCGGCCACCCCCAGGCAGCTGTAGCGGATGTCCACCCCCAGGAGGACATGACGGGGTAGGAGGTCCAGCAGAGATCCGATGCTGGAGACGGAGAGCTCCTCCACACGGACATACCTGCACAGTAACTTGAGGGGGTCTGCCGTGCCAAGGGCTGCGCGCACACGCTCCCAGGAACGGGCGTTGACAAAGAGGTCAGCCCTCACACACACCACCACCTCGCTATCTGCCTCAGAGTCTGCCTCCCCCTCCCCCTCGCCCACTTTGCCACCTGCCAGACCTGCCACTGCTGCACTCGCCTTTCTCCTCTCCATTTCCATCCTCCTCCTCACCCCTTTCACCTGCTTGTCCTCCCTCAGACACCCCGACGTTTCCTTTTTCTCTCTTCTCACAGACTCCACCAGCAGCCCGCCTCCCTCTCCTTCTTCTTCCTCAAAGCCTCGCTTTTCTCCTCCTCCTCTTTCCCGTTTGACCACGTCTCTCTCCCTTTCCATGGCCAGCACTCTCTTCCTTTCCCGTTCCCCCTCTCTCCTGAGGGCCCTCTGAGCTCCGGCCCTGGCCTGTACAACCATGGTGCAGAGGGCCACAGTCAGAGACCAACCACCCATGGGGTCTCCCACTCCTCCTTCCTCACACTGCAGCCCACATAGGTCCAGCACCTGGAGAGCACACCTTTGGAATAGAGAAGAGGAATAGAGAAGTGATTACATGGACAAAGATTGTCTGGTGCCCATGGATGTCTACCATCTTAGAAGTGAGCTATCTCTATGACATTGGGAGATTGTAGGCTGTGAAGTTGTCGATTGATCTTACTATTAAACAGTATTTTGTTTCCATTATTCAAAGACTCATTAACATTGCTGGATAATGTTGTTTCAGAGAAGTAAACTAACAAAGATTCATTATGTGTTACCTTTTGTCCGACAATCCTCTGACCACCGCGAGCAAGAGAGCCTGGACACAGAGTCGATTTGGGGGACTCTGCCCCTGCCTCTTCCGGCCGCCAACACGCAGAGTCCGCTCGGGCCATCGCTGAACCAATTCTCCGACAGCCAGCGGGCGGCAGTTGGTGAAGGCAGCCTCCAGAAGCGGTCTGTACAGTTCCCTGGGTACACAACCAAGCCAACCCGGAGAGGAACTGTGATCACTCACAACCTCTTTGGCACAAAGATTCACCAAGGGAAGCACCATCACTCCTGTTTTGAGCTGTTGAAAGATTATCCCCAAATTTTTGAAGTAAATAACCAAATAATAACGATCGTTAGCTACTTTCCGGAGAGAATTAAACGCAATATGTATATTTTGCAACTTTGCTGACTATTTATTTAGCTGGTTAGTTAACTATCTTCTATGCCTGTGAACATTTGCTGGTAGCACTAACGTTAGCTACAGTACTGTAGCTATTAAGTAAAGGTCGCGAGTAGATCGTTTGATAGCATAAAATACTAAAAATAGACTTTATATGTAAAACCGATATCTAGATAATAAACATCCAGAAAGTTGTAAACGATTGCTGGAAATGTCTCGGGTCAAAAAGATAGTGTTGCACATCATGTTAGCATGACAGGACCGATGGATTACCTCCTCCGAATCGTATTATGTTGTTTACGGTTACTTATTGATGACGTTCTATATGATGACGTTGTCGATACGCGCCCCATTTAGATTTAAACGCATTATTTTACTTACTAATCTTTGTCATCAAAGATGGCAAACGGCTTGCTTTATAAAATAATAGTTGTTTAATTCTATAGGGTCAAAAATGTGTAGCCTAATTATTATAGGATCTTTATATTTGTGCATATAGCGTTGATAACTGAGGAAATAGCATATGCACGAATGTAGGATGGCTATGCCCTATTCAAAACAACTGGGAACTCGGAAATCCTCGACTTCCGACTTCAGTGCATTCAAGACAAACTGCCGTTACTGCACTTTTACTGCAGTTTCAAATCTGCAATATTTTTTTGTAAGGGTTGTATGTGTATTAACGTAGTAAAACGTGAAGTATTTGGTGCTATATGCATTGCACACAATGAATACATCAAGTTTGTGACTCTACACATTTGTTGGATGCATTTGCTGTTTGTTTTGGTTGTGTTTCAGATTATTTTGTGCCCAATAGAAATGAATGGTAAATAATGTATTGTGTCATTTTGGAGCCACTTTTATTGTAAATAAGAATATAATATGTTTCTAAACACTTCTACATTAATGTGGATGCTACCATGATTACGGATAATCCTGAATGAATTGTGAATAATGTTGAGTGAGAAAGTTACAGACACACAAATATCATACCCAAAAGACATGCTAACCTCTCACCATTACAATAACAGGGGAGGTTAGCATTTTTGGAGGGGTATGATATTTGTGTGTCTGTAACGTTCTCACTCAACATGATTCACAATTCATTCAGGATTATCCGTAATCTGAGCTTGTTTTTACCTAAATTCCCAATTGTCTTGAACACACTGAAGTGGGGGGAAGTTAGAGATTTTGAGTTCCCACTAGTTTAATTGGGCCTATTAGATCTGACTTTGATGGTTGCACACTTGCAAAATAGCCTATAGGCCTACAACAAGTTAGGATAGGCTACCATTTGTCCCATCTCTCATTTAATTGGACCCACTTCCATAGCCACGGGAAGGAGGGGTGCTGAGAGTGCTGCAGCACCCTCTGAAAAATCAGAAGAAAAAAATAAAATATGAATACATTTATTTTAATTACTTAGAAGAAGAAGAAAAAATCACAAAAGTAGTGCACAGGGCCTTTACTAGTCCTGTATTATCTCTCATTTAATTGGGCCTATTAGATAGGCTATTATAATTTCAAGTTTCTGTTCTATGTATCCGAAAGAGAGTGTGGTTTATAACATACAGTAGAATTCAACAGGTGAACAGACAGTTGATATTTTGCATTGAAGTGTGTAGGCTACCACTGTAAGAAGGCCTACTGTAGTTATCATTTTTTTTCAGAGTAGACAATGTTTCAGAATTCGTGGGCAGTGCAGCATATTTAGGTTTGGAAGAAAGTAAATGCAAAACATTACTGAATTCAAACTATCTGTTTACAGGTCTACAACAAGTTCTGAGAACAATAGCATGTCTACAACTTCATCAGCTGCAAGCTGTCAAACTACTGTAAATAAAGCTACGGCTACACACTTTATCAGTGCACAAAATCACTTGCTAGCTAGATAAATGATCATACTTATTTGTCATTTAAGCTAGAAAGTAGTAGCTAGCAGGCACATTGAGCAGCCAAGCTACAATCAGCATATGAAGTCATTGGCGAGTGGCGATTTGTGTACTGTGCTTCTGCACCGTCATTTTTATATTTATTTTTTACAACATTCTCACTATATCTATTACCAGAGTGTGTGTCTGTCTTATCTATTACCAGAGTGTGTGTCTGTCTGGTAGTGTTTCATAGCGAATCATGTTACAAAACAGGTCGCAAGGGACACAAGATGCTGACAAATAGGTTTTGGAATATTGAGAAGTTGCAGTTGGGATACAAGTCTCAATGCTCGTTTTGCCCCAAAAAGTGGCAGACTCCAATGATCACTATCAAACACGTGGCCACTCTATAAAGGGCTTAGGGCTAACTGATATTTTAACATAACATTGGCGTGTGTTGTCTTATGTAAACAAGACTGAGACGCTGCATAATGGACATGTCTGTCCCACTGTCTGAAGGTTCTGGCTGCTATGATTGGATAGAGCATGTGCAGCTGATAGAGGGCAATCAGAATAAGCACAGCTGCTTGTCTCGTAACCCTCAGTAAATCGTGATGAACTCACTTACACAAATCTGTTTTGGACGACACTAACTTTATGACGAAAATTATCCTATTAATACTTTGCAGTCAATTTTGACACAACAATTTATGTTTCTGACTCATATCGATGCCACATACATAGACCGTTTCAAACGAGAGAAGTTGGTTGTAATGGGCAATTGACCTTTAAGTAAATTGCTTTAGATATTTGTTTATTTTTATGTTTAGCTCACATAATATAATTTACAAGTATGCATTAAGGTGTCTGTAATATAATCAACGTGCCAAAAACATGAATAAAAGCATTTTTATAGCCCCCCCCCCCCCATTTTTTTTATTTTTTACAATTGTGCAGGATTGCCAAGATGGTGGCGCAGTAGCTTAACAGTGCCCCCTGTCAGTCAGCTAGTGTATATATAAATCATTGAAACGCACCCTACCACAAGATGGCAATACCGGCCAATGTGGCTTTCTTATTTTGCGAAAGAGCAGATGGAAGACAAGCCATTGAACTTCATTCATCGACACTGGCCCAGTTTAGTCCCCACACCCCCTGTGCCTGGGGTAAACAACCGGGATAGCAAGCCCAGTGCAGACTTTGTTGATAATGGTGGAGAATGAATATGAATGAATGTCTCTTGTGGTTTTAATGCAAGTGTTATTAATTTACTAATATTAGGCTATTATAGTGTTATAAAATGTCTAACATTATATTCATGTACAATATTAAATATTATGACCAAGTCTTAAGTCGTTTTCTAATAATAATATGTATTATTATTATTGTCACTATTATTGTTATTGTAATTAGTCATTACTATTTGTTATTACTCAAGATTAATTTAGTAATAAGTAACATGTGTCATTACCATGTCATGGCATACTTTTCATATTATATATTATACTATAGATATACGTTCAACGCTTAAAGTGGCCCTTTAAAGGGCCTAGTAGCCTTGCCTGGTCCCAGATCTGTTTATGGAGTCATAGCCTGCTAGATCGAAAGTAAAACAAACATTTGTTGCTCCGTCTGCTGTTTTACCGTGTGGGTAAATCCTTTCAATTGTCTACTTCGGGGAAGCTGAAAACAAAAAGAACAGGTTTGCAAGATTAGATTTTTTTTCAGGGTATTGTCATTTTTCCTATTTCTTTAGGCCAGTAATTCATGCATGGTTTTTAACGCCCCATTTTTCGTGCTGCGAAATTGCGCATAGGCTTTCCCACTAGCCTACAATATTCGGCATAGACCTGTATGTATAGCTAGCCTGGCAGACGCGACAAGAGCTGGTGTCAGCCAGACTACTTTAGAGCTACTAAAGGGCCTAATCGTTTTTAAAGGCATTTTTATGTTGACGTTGTCCTGTAATATAATATGACTACTATGGTCAGAGGACGCCATAAACAGTGAGGTCCAGGCAATGGAGACCCTGCCTGCTGGGACTCCCCAGGACAACGAGAGAGGTGTTGGTGTCCAGAAAAAAACGCTCCCAACCTGCCATAAAGGAGGTCCATGAGGAGCCTCTTGAGAAAGAGAATGGGGATGCCCGTGATCAGCCAGGGAATAGGGAAGAGCCTATCAAGAGTTGGTGAAGGAACAGTATGAGAAGAGGCAACAACTTTGAAAGTGAGTATTGAGAATACTGCATACCGGTACATGCTTCAGATAGTGAATTATAGATGATTTGAATCCCTGATATGTTCTCTTCCAAATTCAGATTATTCCACAGATCCAGGTGTACATGCAAGTCTAGTGTCATATGAGTTCACCGTGGATAAGGTGAGCTGAATTTAAGATTGCTGATAGCGGCTTTATTGAGGAAAATATTTATTAAATTTTTATTTAAATTTTATTTTTATTTCACCTTTATTTAACCAGGTAAGCCAGTTGAGAACAAGTTCTCATTTACAACTGCGACCTGGCCAAGATAAAGCAAAGCAGTGCGATAAAAACAACAACACAGAGTTACATATGGGGTAAACAAAACATAAAGTCAAAAATACAACATAAAATATATATACAGTGTGTGCGAATGTAGTAAGTTATGGAGGTAAGGCAATAAATAGGCCATAGTGCAAAATAGTTACAATTTCGTATAATACTGGAATGATAGATGTGCAAAAGATGATGTGCAAATAGAGATACTGGGGTGCAAATTAGCAAAATAAATAACAATATGGGGATGAGGTAGTTGGGTGGGCTAATTTCAGAAAGGCTGTGTACAGGTGCAGTGATCGGTAAGCTGCTCTGACAACTGATGCTTAAAGTTAGTGAGGGAGATAAGAGTCTCCAGCTTCAGGGATTTTTGCAGTTCGTTCCAGTCATTGGCAGCAGAGAACTGGAAGGAATGGCGGCCAAAGGAGGTGTTGGCTTTGGGGATGACCAGTGAGATATACCTGCTGGAGCGCA